GCGGGCGCGAGATAGCGTGGTTTACTGTGCACTGTATGCCTGTTTTCGTGTTAGCGCACTGAGACCTTTATGTATTGGTATAGAGTTATAGATATAAGCAGCTCGTGAACGTTACTTCTTGTCTTTCGTATCTCTTCTCTGTCAAGCTTTATTACAGAATTCACATCGTGCGCAAACTAGCGTCCCACTATATATCGTTATATGATATGTAGCGATATATCATGGAACTGAACCCCCATTTGAGGCGTTGTCAAGAAAACTGTACTGTAAGGGCATTTCCTTTTGATAGGAGTCGTCATTAGACGACAGTTGTCAGCAACATGTGTCACATTGGAACCGTAAGCAAGCGACGAAGGTCGTATATGACGTAACTCGGCTAGCTATGCCTGCTCGTCTATTAATATCGCAAGGACTATTCGACCTTGAGGGAAGAACGTTTTACGAACGAATGACACGTGTGAGACAAGTACGTCAAGTTTATTTTAATTCCCCAGTATAGTACCACAGAGGTTTTAATTTCTTCGTTGACTGAAATCGTTGTGCTGGGGACGCAGGGCGGCCGATTTATTGACGGTCTATGTACAGCAGAACACAGCAAAGCTAAGCGAACGCCAACTTTCACGCTAGCCATCGCCGACGCCAGCCTCGCAAGTGTTGGCCCTTAGACCATCTCTGATGATGACCATTTGTCATAAATTTGTTCTGTGTTGGGAAGAATTTTGTTCCCGATTTGTTCGCAGGGGCCCCCGGGGCATTATCGAATATTCCTCGTTGCTCGTCTGCTGATGGCTGTATTTCTAGGCGCGCATGTATGGGGCGGCAAATCTTTGCGCTGTCATTGTGAGGGATTGCAAACATCCGCCCTGTAGCGCGACTGTCGCCTTTTTGCTCCATGCCTGAAATTACACGCCGTGTATACGTACGCGTCGTAGCCACTGTGTTTTGCAAGGCGTTTATGATTCTTGGTTTACGAAGTAATTGCCTAGAATCGGAGGAATAACCTGAAATTTTGACTCGTGTAGCGACGTTGCTCCGGGCCGGATTTTTGCGTCTCCGGTTACTCTCTGATTGCTGTCACCTCATGGTAAAGTTGCTGGTGCTTGTATGGCTCTATGTATACGAAGACGCTAGACTCGAACTTCATTTTTTATTACTGTACTTTACTACTTTGTTGTTCTCAATCTGTTCATCTAT